GGAGACGGCAAAGGGCAGAGCGGTGCCCACCTGCACCAGGATATTTCTTTGAGCAGCCAAGTTGTCTTTTTTTCCCCTAGGGAAAAGGCCTGCATTTTGCTCCAGGGTGCTGCCTGGGAATGGGATGGGTCTTACTGCCAGCTACTGCATCTCAGGAAAGCATCCCTTCCTGTTCTGCCCATGCCCAGCAGCTCCGCATGGGGGGACTGCTGGGGCTGGGGAGGGTCCCAAGCCCAGCTGGAGGCAGGGATGGCATCCCAGGTGTCGCTCATTGTCTGCCCAGGCACAGTATGGCTGGAGAGAGGCCTGTGTGCCTCGGTGCAGGGCAGCACCCTGCGGGGTGCTCAGAGACTTGTGGGTGGGAGTTTTGTCCCAAACGTGGCATGGAGCAGCTCACCCCAATGCCAAGAGGTGACAGTCCTGTGGTGGGCAGTGCTGCATGCAAGCAATGTGCACGCTGGTGGAACACGGGCGTGCGCTGGGCTGCGCAGGTGTTTGGGGCGGAGATGTCGGAGCAGAGAGGTGTGTACACACCGTGTGGTGGGCAGCGCCAGGGCTGTGTGCCCATGGGGCCGTGGGAGAAGTGGGGAGAGGAGATGGGGGTGAACGCTGGGTGCTGGGTGACAGAACTGCAGGTGTCAGCCAACCCAATTATGTCCCCAAGGCCACTTTTCTAGCAGGGCGTGTGTTGGCTTTTCATGGCTTGGGAGTGGGGATACCCCCGGCAGCCTCGTGCAGATCACCGCGGTGCAAGCGCATGGGGTGGGCACCACAACAGTCAGCACAGGGCTCCCGCAGGGTCACACGGCTGTCACCATGTCTGGTGGCTGTGGCAGAGCTCGGCGCCTGTCACTCAGCGTGTAAACCAATCCCCAAATGAGGAAGCAGTGCCAGAGTGTGGTGTGGGGTGGATGGAGAAGTCCTGATGGCAGAGGCAAGGGAGCAGCCCGGCCCCGTGCCCTGGTGGCACCGTGCTCCAGGTAGGACTCGCGCCAGGCACTGGGAAGCTGGGGGCTGGGCTAGCCTTCCCATGGGATGGCATCACCCCACAGCACTGCAGGGTCTCCCAGAGCCTGGGGCCAACGCTGGAGGGTCCTTGGTTTGGGAATGGGCTCTGTAGCACCAACCCCTTCAGAGAGGAGCCCCGAGTTTGAACGCAATGCCAAAGCTGTGGTGTGCCGACCACATGGGCTCTTCTCCCTCAAGCAGCAGCATGTCCTGGCCATGCTGCATGGCCTGGGGACAGGTCAGGGTGATGCAACAGTGGAAAGGAGCATGGGCAAGATCTGTGGGGTGGGGAAGGGGCAGAAGAAAGGAAGGACAGAGTGCCCAGGGGCTGCCAGCTGCTGCACTGGGCAGCATCCAGCATCCATCCCTGCAGCACAGCAAGAGGCGCAAGAGGAATTGAATCTGCAGAGCTGGGCACCCGAAATGCCTATAAATACCCACAGAGCTTCAGTGCTGGTGGCAGGGGACAGCCTGGTGTGGGACAGGGGATAGGGGTGGAGGGCTGGGGCAGTGTGCAGCTGGGTGCTGAGCTGGGGGAGGCTGAGACCCTGCCTGGCAGCACCACAGCCCATGCCAAGTGCCAGGACATCGAGGGGCAGGGGTGTCTCTGCCATGCTTCCAGGTATTCAGCATGTCCCTGGCAGGGGGAAGGGGCAGTCTGAGGGCTGAGCGGGGCAGCTCAGTGGTGACACTGCCCTGTCTCACCCCAGTGTTACTCTTGGCTGGCAATATGTGCACTGCTGGAATCATGACCATGCTCAGCCCCACGGCATCCTCTGCTGGCATGTTTGCTTCTCTGGTGTAGATTCGTAAAGAGTCTCAGGCTTTTGTGGGTCCCAGCCAGGGCACCCCAGGAGCTGGAGCCTGTTCCAGAGCCTGGAGGGAA